AGGTTTTGAAATGGGCTTTGTGAAGGTACCTTTGCATGAGATTGAAATTGAGTCTTCCCTTGTTGTTGCCGCGTTGTGGTGGAGTGCGACCGTGTCTTCCTGTTCGAGATGTCACATTTATTTTAGGAAATGACTTAGCGGGAGGAAAAGTTTTTGCTAGCCCTGAGGTAACTGATGTTCCTCTACCTGGTACTTCTATGATGCATTAGCTCAGACATATCCTGAGGTTTCCCCTCATGTGCTGTTACTCGCGCTATGACCCAGAGACTGAAAGATAAAATCTTTGTGAATCAGAAAGTGAGTGGATTTTGATTTGAGTGATACGTTCCTCTCTAATGCAGATTTTTGTCAGGTTAAGTGTTCAGACTTTGTTGACGCGTTAGACCTCGCCGTTAATAAGCGAGATGAACACTCTATGGGCTCAAGGATTGTCTCTGTCTCGCGAGCAGCTTATTGTTGAACAGAGGAAAGATGAGAAAACGTCATCCCTCTTGAAGCTGTTGTTTCCTGTGGAGCAACTCGAACAGGTATCGCAAGGTTACTTTGTTGAAGATGGGGTGTGATGAGAAGTGGAGACCACCTACTGCATCTGCTGATGATGAGTGGCAAGTCGTCAAGCAGATAATAGTTCCCTCCTCGTACCGCTCTGAGATTTTGAGCCTTGCGCCATGATAGCCCGTTTGCCGGTCATTTAGGAGTGAATAAAACATACGACCGTATCCTCCGTAATTTTTTCTGGCCTGGTTTTGAAAACCGATGTTGCGAGTTTATTGCCGAAGTTGTCATGTGTGCCAAATGACGGGAAAACCAACCAGAATATCCCACCCGCTCCATTACATCCAATTCCTGCTTTTAGTGAACCATTTGAGCGGGGTGATGATTGACTGTGTCGGTCCTTTGCCTCGTACTAAGTCAGGAAATCAATACTTGCTGACCATAATGTGCTCGTCAACACGTTTCCAGAGGCAATCCCTCTGCGTAAAATTACTGCACCAGTGATTGTGAAATCTCTTGTAAAGTTTTTCTCACTGTTTGGTCTTCGCGTACTATTCAATCGGACCAAGGTACGAATTTTATGTCACGTGTGTTTAAACAAGCTCTGGAGCAGTTGCATATACAACATCGTACGTCAAGTTGTTACCATCCTGAAAGCCAGGGCGCACTGAAAGGTTCCATCAGACTTTAAGTCAATGTTGCGCGCGTTCTGTCTTGAGTTTCAGAAGGATTGGACGACGGGGTACCCATGGTTATGTTCGCCGTGCGAGAGGTTGTGCAGGAGTCGTTGGGCTTTAGTCCGGCTGAACTGGTGTTCGGGCATACTGTCCGTGGTCCACTTAAAGTGATTAAAGATCATTGGACTAGTGACCCAACTCCTAACATTCTTGACTATGTTTCAGGATTTCGTTTCAAGTTGCTCGTGCATGTGAGTTGGCCAAAGAGAATTTGGAGATTTCTCAGCGACGAATGAAAAAACGTTATGATCGTTGTGCTAACTTCGTAGCTTTGCTCCTGCGACAAGGTGTTAGTGCTGATGCCAGTGCCTGGGTCTGCATTGCAAGCTCGTTATTATGGTCCTTACCCAGTCAAAGAAAAGGTGAGTGAGCTTGATTATGTTATCTCGACGAATGACCGAAGAAAGAAACTCGTCTTTGTCATATTAAACATGCTTAAACCGTACTTCGAAAGACCGCCAGAATGGGCTGGTAGGGAAGTCGGCTGTGTTGACTGTTTTACCTATAGACTTTCCGGTGACCGAGGGACCGGTGCTGTCCAGTGCTGATGTACCTGAGGATGGGGTGCTGTCCAGTGCTGAATCTTTCATCCGCCCAGAGTGTCCTTTATCGGACAACGTTGCTGTTGCCACTTGTGAAGGGGATGTTGAGTTTCCTGCTGCAGAACTGGTTGCGGAAGGTTGAAGAATTCTTCGATAATTCGAACTTTGCACTCGCATTTTTCACATTTAACTGTAACTGAACGAGCTGATGTGATTAGTATTATTCGGAAGTATGAGATTTGTTCTCTGATGTTCCCTCGTGACCTCATTAATAGAGCATGATATCGACGTTGGCAATTCGTTGCCTATTAAACAACACGCATATCGTGTGAGCCCTGAAAGAGAACTCAGCTGCAACACGAGGTAACTTTATGCTCGAAAATGATATCGCCGAGCCCAGTTTTAGTCCTTGGAGCTCCCCCTGCTTGTTGGTTCAAAAAGACTGACGGTACATTTCGTTTTGTACTGATTTTAGACGCGTTAATGCTGTAACGAAACCCGATAGTTATCCATTGCCGCGTATGGAAGATTGCGTGGATCATGTTGGAAATGCTGCGTTCGTCACTAAAATCGATCTGCTTAAAGGTTACTGGCAGGTGCCTTTGTCAGATCGCGCAAAAGAGATTAGTGCGTTCGTAACACCAGATCATTTCCTACATTACAAAGTAATGGCTTTCGGCTTACGAAACGCTCCGGCAACCTTTCAGAGATTGGTTAATCGTGTCATCAAAGGTATGCATAATGTTGAAAGCGTATTTGGATGACTTAGTCATTTACAGCGCGTCTTGGTCAGAACATGTGGAGCAACTCGAGGAGCTGTTCAGTCGTTTGTCTCGAGCTAACCTCACAGTGAATTTAGTGAAGTGCGAATTTGTCGCGCCACGGTCACCTATCTGGGAAAAATCGTCGGTAGCGGTCAGGTTCGACCTGTTGAGTCTAAGGTGGAGGCTATCACCAATTTTCCCATGCCACCACGCGTCGGGAGCTCCGTCGATTTTTAGGATGGTCGGATACTACAGAAGTTTTTTGCAAAATTTTTCTGTCGTCGCTTCTCCTTTAACCGACCTACTTAGTCCAAAAGTTGCGTTTAAATGGACCGAGACTTGTCAGTTGAGTTTTGAGAAAATCAAAGCACTTTTGGTTTCTTCTCCTGTTTTGTCAGCTCCTGACTTTTCTACTCCGTTTTTTCTTGCTGTTGATGCAAGTGACACTGGTGCTGGAGCTGTACTCCTTCAACTAAGTCAGGCTGGTGTTGAGCATCCTGTTTGCTACTTTTCACGCAAATTTAATAAACATCAGCGAGGTTACTCCACATTGAGAAGGAGGCGCTCGCCCTTGTCCTTGCCATTCAACATTTTATGTTTACATTGCTTCTGTTACGCACCCACTGATTGTTTACACGGATCACAATCCCTTGACTTTATTTAGTCGAATGAAAAACAATAATCACGACTGATGCGTTGGAGTTTTGTTTTTTACAGACTTTTGAGTTGGACATTCGTCACATTCGGGGTAAGGATAACGTGATTGCTGACGCTTTGTCTCGTACTTGAATTAATTGTAGGTTATTCTGAGGTAAGCTGATTTCATCCCTACAATTAATCATTTAAGGGTGAGGGTGTTATGTGTGTGTGGGTGTACTATTGAGCGATTAGTGTGTGTGCTATTCTTTTGAGTTACAGATGGCGAGGTAGAGTTGTACAGCGGAAAGCAAAGTGACGTCACGGGAGTTCCTGCTATTTAAGCGGTGCCGGTTCTGATGTCACGGGCTCTCTCTCACTGCTCTCTCACAGCCCGCTCTCCTCTTCTCTCCGCCTAATTACCAGCTGGGTGATCACCTGTGCGGTTGTCGTCTCGCCATGCGGGAGCGAGGCGAATGATTGTTTTCTTTTGATTCTAGTTTATTTGTTAAACCAGTAGTGGCTTTATTTTCCTTTGTACACTTTTTATTATTTATTTAGTTTAGTGAAGGGAAGCAGCTGCCCGGAAGACTCACCCGTTTTATTTCTTTTCGGGAGCCAGGTAAGATCTCTCCTGACTGAAGTACAGGGTTAGTAAGGTATCTGTTTTCCTTTATGGGCCCTACCTGTGTTATCTTTATTTTGCTGAATTTATGATTTATTGTCCACTCAACTCTCAAGGCCTGTCTAATTAAAAATATGGTGTGTTAACGCCAGAAACGCTAAATCGTCTGTGATTCCTATATGTTCGGTCTTTTATCTATGTGAGAATTTATAACGAGCTGAACTGGATTGAGGGCTGTAACAAAATAAAAAACAATAACCATTGACTTTAGACCAGCTTTCAGTTGGCCAATGTCAAAATAGCAATGCGGTGGAATACACACCTCATTTTCAGACCAGCACCCATGGGCGCAAATGTAAAAAAATGATAATTGCGTCGGGCTGAAACTAGCGAAACTCACTTTCCTGGCGCTGCATTGCACCAGGCAGCCTAAATATATTATTTTTTGTCCCAGTATCATGCAGCCCAAGACTACAGACACTAAAACACCCTAAAAACATGTGTGTGTGCGTGTTCAAGGCACCTCGTCGTCGGCCGGGTCGATGAGCTGACTGAGCCAGCTGATGTCTGTCAGTCTGCGTAACTCTTGAGTGACGGAAGCCAGCGCTCCACTGAGCTGATCTCTCTGAGGAGGATCCAACTGCTGGAGACACACACACACACACACCAGAGGAAGAGTTGCAATCAGCGTATCTCAAACAATCACTTGAGTTTAGACAGTGTTGTGTGTAACTCATTACAAGTAACTTGAGTGTATAATCAGATTACTTTTTAAGTAACTAGTAAAGTAACGCATTGCTTTTTCAATTTACAATCCTGAGCTTTCGTCTGTTCGCCGACCTACACCAAGTCAACAGTTACGATCAGTGTTGGGGGAAGTTACTCCCAAAAAGGTTACTTGGTTACTTTTTATGAAAAGTAATGCGTAACATTATTAGTTACTTTGCATAAAAAGTAACTAAGTAATGTAATTAGTTCCTTTTAGGGGGAGTAATGCAATATTGTAATGCATTACTTTTGATTACTGATCATAGACACTCTGATTGTGACCAATGAGTTTTTATTACACATTCCTCCGATAAACATCATTAAAATACTGTGACGTGGCATTTCTAAAATATTTCCAAAAATTTATATATATATATATATATATATATATATTAGTGTAGGTTTTTCATCATTTTATTTTATGCTGGACAAATAGTTGCAATCAGGTCACAATGGACAAATCAAGTTTACAATGGAAGCTTGTTTCCACCACAGAATGAAAAATAAAAAATGCAATTGCAACTTTTAATCTCGCAATTCTGACTTTATTTCTCACAATTGCGAGATATAAAGTCAGAATTGCGTGTTATAAAGTCAGAAATGATTGATATAAAGTCACGAGAAATAAACTATTCTGAGAGGAAAAAAGTTACTTGATAAGTCGCAATTGCGAGTTTATTTCTCAGAAAAGATGTCAGAATTTCAAGATATAAACTCGCAATTATGTGTTATAAAGTCAGAATTGCGAGATGTGAACTGAGTCTCAATTTTTATGAGTTAATTGCATTAATTATGAGTTAACACTAACAATTAATTATGAGTCTTTTTTACTCATAATTGCAACTTTATATTTTGCCATTGCAACTATTTTTTCACAATTTTGACTTGTATCTCGCAATTGCGATTATTTCTCAGAACTGCGACTTCATATCTTGCAATTGTGAGATAAAAAGTCATAATAATTTCAAAGATATTTTTTTTTTTAATTCAGTGGCGGAAACAAGCTTCCATTTCTAATTTGTTTAAAAAAAATTTAAGTTTAGTTTTTTTTAAATCTAATATTAATATTTTATTTTATTTTATTGTATGTCATGATTCACTCACCAGGCACATCTTTCCCGCGAGCAGCAGTTCGGTCTCACTATGAAGAGCTTTGACGTTACTGACCATCTCCATCACAACGCTACAGGTCAAACCCTACACACACACACACACACACACACACGTCACTCCATAAGTACGATGTTATAAGTTTGCACTCGTCTGAATCTGAACCAAACGCGAGTCATGATCAGCAGGCTGTGATTGACAGGTGTCAGACGCCACTCACTCCGCTGCTTTTGTTGGCGTACACGCGGTCCATGGCTTTAGAGCTGGCGTTCACCGCATGAGCCAACTCCTGCTCGATAGTGTGATGAGACTCTGCCACTTCCCTGATACTGAACACACACACACATATACACACACACATTTCAGTTTATGCATATATAGTATGCATAAATAAATATAATCTACTCAATTATATATATTTATGCAGCATCTGTTTTTTTTTCATCATCCTTCGGCTGCGCTACATTATATGATCATGTGATCATTCATTCAACTGCTATTAAACCATTTAATCTTAAAGTGACGGCAGCCTAATGAACCTGATAAACCCGATAAACCTGCTGCCGTCTGTCATTAATGTAAATCAAAGAACAAAAAGACAGAGAAAATCACTCACTCTTCGACTAAATAAAATATCATAATTTTAAAAATAGATGAATCCTTATTAAAGCTTCATTAAGTACTTTCATTTTAGGTGTGATTAATATACAGTAAAAACAAAATACAGTAAAAACAGTTAAATAATATTACAATTTCAAATAACTGTTTGTTATGTGAATATATATATATATATATATATATATTCACATAGCAAAAAGTAATATATATATATATATATATATGTGTAATTTATTCCTGTGATCAAAGCATCATTACTCCAGTCTTCAGTGTCACATGATCCTTCAGAAATGAATATAATATGCTGATTTGATGCTCAAAAAACATTTATGATTATTATCAGTTGAAAACGGTTCATATTTCTGTGGAAACTGTGATAAATTTTATTTTATCAGGATTCTTTGGTGAACAGAAATTTCAAAAGAACAGAATTTATTTGAAAAAGACATTATAATAACATTATAAATCTCTTTACTCCCATTTTTGCAATCTTGATGAATAAAAGCACAAATTTACTCATTAAAAAAAAAAATATATATATATATATCTTACTGAGCCCAATCTTATGGACGGTTAAACCTGAGCATCAGATCTGCGTACCTGTGTATCAGCGCCCCGGCCGCCTGCCCGAACAGACTGATCTGAGTGGTCTCGTCTTCAGAAACGATCTCCGGCTGTGATGCATGCTGGGAAACCAGCCGAGGAATCTCTCCTCTCTGTTTATCCTCCCATGATTTCAGAGTGTTTTCGAACGCCTGCAAAACAGCCACAGTTGAGTCGTGTTTTACTCATTTGAAGGTCAATTTCAATTCAATTCACGTGTGTTTGTACAGCGCTTTTCACAATACACATCATCTCAAAGCAGCTTTACAGAAAGTGCATGAGTCCACATTACAATTTAGAGTTATGCAGAAACAATGAGCTCATTCAAGTTATGAATATTTGTTTGTTAACAAAAGTGACCCCGGATCACAAACCCAGTCACATGACGCACGGGTGGCAATATCCAACAACACATTGTGTGGGTCAAAATTATCAATTTTTCTTCTATGCCATAAATCATTAGGATATTAAGTAAAGATCATGTTAAATGAAGATATTTAGTCAATTTCTAACTGAAAATATATAAAACATGTATTTTGTTTTATAAATATATAAAACATTTGTATCGCCAACATAAATGCACAACTATAAAGACGATTTTCTCAATGTATCGATTTTTTGCACCCTCAGATTCCAGATATTTAAATAGTGAACTATTATAATAAACCATACATCACTGGAAAGCTTATTAATTCAACGTTCATATGATGTATAAATCTCAATTTCTCAAAAATTCTCTCAAAAATGTTAAAAAATGGTCCCACTTTATGTTAAGTTAATCGAAAAATAAGTACAATGTACTTGTTGTGTTCATGTTGTATAGTAAAACACTTGTGTATCTTGTGTACAGTGTGTAATTATAATAAATGTAATAATTGCATGAATTACATGCAGGTATTTTAAAAATATTAGTACAATTAGTACAAAGTTTCTTCTGCTCACCAAGGCTGCTTTATTTGATGAAAAAAACAAAGACAAACAGTAATATTGTGAAATATTATGACAATTTAAAATGACTGTTTTCTATTTTAATATATTTTAAAATGCAATTTGAAAGCATTACTGTTGCTGATTACACATCAGTTTTCAGTGTCACATGATCCTTCAGAAATCATTCAAATATGCTGATTTTATGCTCAAAAAACATAAATTATTATTTTCAATGTTGGAAACAGTCGTGCACCATTTTCCCCCCAAAATTCTCTGATGAAAAGAAAGTTCAAAAGAACAGCATTTATTTCAAATATAATCTTTTCTAACATTATAAATGTCTTTACTGTAACTTTTGATCGATTTAACTCATCCTCCTCGATGTATAAAAGTATTTTCTAATTTCTTTCCCCCAAAAATAAAAAATAAATTCTTACTGACCCCAAACTTTTGAACGGTAGTGATGATTATTGTTACAAAAGCTTTCCATTTCAGATCAATTCTATTCTTTTGAACTTTCTATTCATCAAAGAATCCTGAAATAAAAATGTAAAAAGCTGTTTTCAACATGGATAATAATCATAAATATTTCTTGAGCATCATATTATAATAATTTCTGTAGGATCATGTGACACTGAAGACTGGAGTAATGATGCAGTAAATTCAGTTTTGATCACAGGAATAAATTACACTTCACTATATATTCACATAGAAAACCGCTGTTTTAAATTGTAATAATATTTCACAATATTTCTGTTTTTTTTTTGTATTTTTTATCAAATAATTGCAGCCTTGGTGAGCAGAAGAGACTTCTTTTAAAAACATAAAAATTTTACACTGTATGTGTACACATGTACTAAGTAGATTTTAAAGTGAGACCCACAAAATGTACCCATGTGACTGGTTTTGTGATCCCAGGTCCAGTTATGATTATTGGTATAAATGTAGCATTGGTGGAGTTCCCATGATGCCTCACTGACCCGGTCTCTGGTGAGGGTTTGAGTGCGGTTCTTGTGGAGGATCCGGATGTATCCGGGCGGCTGGATCCAGGCCTCTCCGTCCACCTGCACAGGCACACCTTCATCTCCCAGAATCGTGATCTTCACCGTTCGACACTGATGAACACACAAACACTCGTTACACTACAGGGGCTTCCGCATAAGTGTTGGCACCCATGCTAAAGTTGCCTAAAAAGAGGAATAAAAAATCATCTTTTGGATGTTGATCTTAATGCCTTAATTAGAAAAATGAGGAAAACTCCAACCTTTAAGGACACCAATTTTCTTTGTGAATGAATAATGTATCATAAATAAATAAATGTTTTTCCTTAAAATACAGGGTGCATAAGTCAGAGCACCCCTATGTTAAATCCCCATAGAGTCAGGCAGATTTTTATTTTTAAAAGCCAGTTATTTCATGGATCCAGGATAATATGCATCCTGATAAAGTTCCCTATTAAAATATCCCCACATCATCACACACCTTCCACCACACCTAGGGTACTTTCCATAAGATCATCTTTCAATGCAAATCAAACCAGCTATTAGGCTAACTGAAGTAAAACCATGCCAATCTCTAGGTGTGGTGAAGGTGTGTGATGATGTGGGGATATTTTAATAGGGAACTTTATCAGGATGCATATTATCCTGGATCCATGAAATAACTGGCTTTTAAAAATAAAAATCTGCCTGACTCTATGGGGATTTAACATAGGGGTGCCCTGACTTATGCACCCTGTATTTTAAGGAAAAACATTTATTTATTTATGATACATTATTCATTCACAAAGAAAATTGGTGTCCTTAAAGGTTGGAGTTTTCCTCATTTTTCTAATTAAGGCATTAAGATCAACATCCAAAAGATGATTTTTTATTCCTCTTTTTAGGCAACTTTAGCATGGGTGCCAAAACTTATTCACACCACTGTATGTGTGTGTGTGTGTGTGTGTACCTGTGCGATACGGTGGTGCTGTAGATTAATAACTCTAGAAACAGCCATCTGCATGCTGCCGAACACAGCCACCACCTCCAGGATCTTATCGTCAAATGACGGCGCCGTGAACGTCTGTGAACAAACACATTTTATGAGAAACACACACATACACACACAGAATGGAGTTGAACAAACTTACGTCGTCCTCTTTAGTTCCGCCCCAGAAGTTTGTTCCTCCAGCGTAACTGGGAATATTCAACACTGCGATTCCTTGGAGACTGGGAAGAGGGATCGGCCTCCCGTCACACTACACACACACACACACACACTCAGGTTATGTACGATTCACCTCGTAAGCGATACGATATGACAAAAAAAATGAACATTTGGCCAATTCACGATTTCAATTATTAACAACTCTGTTACAGAAAGCTCTCTCTCTCTTAAACACACACACACACACACACACACACACTAACCTCCAGCAGAACTCTCTGTTCCAGGTTCTTGTATGTTCTGTGTAAAAGTTCTCTGGTGCCGAGGACTCCATACCACATCATGTTTTTAGTACGACTCCTAAACACACACACACACACACAGGTTATTAGAGATGGGAATCAATCACCAGAGAACCCATGATAATAATATCACAATTCTTAAGCCATGATACAATATTATTACAATTTTAAACATCTTGCAATATGATATATTGTGATTTATCCCGTTTAAAGAAAAACACACACATATTTATCTAACAAGATGAAGTCTCAGTCTGCTCATTTCTCATATATTTCTTCCCTTCCTTGTTAAATATTTTCCGTCCTCATATTTTACACATTATTTACGATCAAAATCACAGTTGTAGCTAAAATAAAAATATTCAATGTTTTTACACTCAATTCAATTCAATGTATTTGTTTACAAACACCCAAATGAACAAGTCAAATTTGAAACTATTCAGTTATGAAATGTAATTATGTGGCGAATAATATAATTATAATGTTGTTTATGAAGATACATATATTTGCCATTACAGATATTTAAAACCCTATGACTTGGACACTAGATGGCGCTATGAATTATTTTATTTATTAATTTCTTAATTAGATTTACAGACAAACATTATATTATAGACCATATATGAGAGTATATATATATATATATATTATAAAAGAGTTGCATTAATAAAATAAAAATTAAAAACCAAACAAAAGAGAGGAAGACAAAAAACAGCAGTTCTCAGTTATTGGATCTGACAGCATTAAAATCATTTTTTAAGTCATTTTTAAAAAAAAATTTAAACAGCAAAAACAACAAATTAAACTTTAAATATGAACCTCTTTATGGTTCAATATTTATCCGAATAGAAGTGTGTAGTGACAGTAAAGACATTTATAATGTTACAAAAGATTATATTTCAAATAAATGATGTTCTTTTCAACTTTCTGCTCATCAAAGAATCCTAAAAAATAAAATGTATCGCCCTTTTCACAGAAATATGAAAATTGATAATAATCATAAATGGTTCTTGATCATCAGATCATCATATTAGAGTGATTTCTGGAGGATCATGTGACACTGAAGACTGGAGTAATGGAGTAATCACTGGAATAAATGACACTTTACTATATGTTTACACAGAAAACAGTTATTTATATTCTAATAATATTTCAGAATTTTAACTGTATTTTTGATCAAATAAATGCAGGAACTTTTGAACATCATGAGACGTTTTTGACGTGTTTCCGTACCTGCATTTCTCGGGATGCTCGTCACGTTTGTTGTTGAAGTCCAGAGAGATTTTGGCATCCAGGCCGATCCCGAAATAATTATTCATCACGCATTTCTCTGTGTACAGGTCCCTGAAACACACACACAGAGAAGAGGCACTTTCCCATCAGCCTTTTCCCTGAAGCCCCTTTAGAGGTCAGTGTTGACAAGGTCATGTGACTCACAGGTTTTCTGGATCACAGCTGAAGGGGTCAGCGTTGACCAGCAGCCGGCTAATCACTGACCCGCTGAAAGAGCCCGACACACCTGCCCTGAGACCTGCACACACACACACACACACACACACCACATGAGCATCTCAACAACATCAAAACACTGCTGTATTCATCACCACTGCTGCTCTTGCGTCATGCTAGCAACATGCTAATCACGTAAACAACATTCTAATCGCGTTATATTCTTGTTAATAACATGATAACAAAATGTCAGTCGTGTTAGCATCAATGCAAGCAAAATGCTAATGATGTCAGCATTTTACTAGCAACATGCTAATTGTGTTAATATTTTGTGTTAGAACACACCCGCCCTGAGATCTACACACACACCACATGAACATCTCAACAACATCAAAACACTGCTGTATTCATCACCACTGCTGCTCTTGCGTCATGCTAGCAACATGCTAATCACGTAAACAACATTCTAATCGCGTTATATTCTTGTTAATAACATGATAACAAAATGTCAGTCGTGTTAGCATCAATGCAAGAAAAATGCTAATGATGTCAGCATTTTACTAGCAACATGCTAATTGTGTTAATATCTAGTGTTAGAACACACCCGCCCTGAGATCTACACACACACACCGCATGAACATCTCAACAACATCAAAACACTGCTGTATTCTTCACCACTGCTGCTCTTGCGTCATGCTAGCAACATGCTAATAGTGTTAGCATCACGTAAACAACATTCTAATCGCGTTATATTCTTGTTAATAACATGCTAACAAAATGTCAATCATGTTAGCATCAATGCTAGCAAAATGCTAATGATGTCAGCATTTTGCTAGCAACATGCTAATTGTGTTATTATTCTTGTGTTAGTACACACCCGCCCTGAGACCTGCACACACACACACACACACACACACTGCTTGAGGGTCGCAACAACATCAAACACTGCTTTATTCATCATCACTGCTGCTCTGCTGCAACATGCTAAAATTGTGCAAATCATGTTAGCATAACGCTAGCAACATGCTAATCATGTTAACATCTTGTTAAAAACATGTTAGCAACAACATGCTAATCATGTTCATATGTTTTACAAACTGTTAAGCATCAATGCTAACAAAATGCTAACTGTGTTAGTACACACACCCATCCTGAGACATGCACACACACACACACACACACACCACATGAGCGTTTCAACAACATTAAACACTGCTGTATTCATCACCACTGCTGCTCTTACTGGGATACAGGATCTTGGTGTTCAGCATGGGCATATTCTCCCGACTTCCTGTCTGGGCAGGAAGTGAGGCGGAGCTGCCTATGGACAGGCGTTCTTTACTGATGAGCTTCTCACACGGAGTCTTAGACACTGAGAGAGAGAAACATTAGTGAGTGACAGTGTGTGTATGTCATGTCAGGAAGGAGTCGTGGCGCTGAACGAGCCTCACCTCTTCGACTTGCTCGCGTTCTGTTGCTGTACGACAGCAGAGATAATCGCTCAGCGTCATCGTCCTCATCTTCATCCTCCGCAGGCAGTGACGACAAACCTTCCTCCGTCTGAGCGTTCTGTTCATCCACCGCTGAAACACCAGGTCACACATGTGAAATCTGCAGTTTTCTTTCAATCTATTTCAATAGTCAACAAAACATGCTAGCAAATGCTAATTGTGTTAGCATCATGCTAGCAAAATACTAATTGTGTTAACATCATGCTTGCAAAATGCTAATTGTGTCATGCTTGCAAAATGCTAATCTTGCAAAAACATGCTAATCATTTTAGCATATTGCTAAAACCATGCTAACAACATGCTGATTGTGGTAACATCATGTTAATTGTGTTAACACGATGCCAAGATGCTAATTGTTAAAATCATGCTAGTAACATGCTAATTTTGTTAGCATCATGCAAACAAAATGCTTATCATGTTAGCATTATGCAAAAACATTAATTATGTTGGCTTCTTGTTAAAAACATGCTGTTTGTATTAGCATCTCGCTAAACCCACACCCATATCCCTCTCAGAGTATCATGGGGGTGAGCTTTTTTGACTCGAGGCAGTGTAGTTACGCACGGGAAGCACCACATGTCTATTTTAAATTACGATACATTTAATTAAAGCTACAATACCTTTCTCCGTGTGCTCTATGATTTGTCTGATGGCTTTCTTCAGGCTGTTGGCGCGTAACATCAGCTGCTCTCGAGGTTTGAAGATGGCGGCAGGTGGTCGAGGAGAACAAGGAGCCGTGATGGTGGGCGGGGCGGTGGGCGGGGCCAAAACCACACCCTCCCCGTCAACCTGCTCTTCGGCGATGGTGGGCGGAGGCGCAGTCATCACGCTGGTGGCCTGAGATTCCTCGTTAAGCGTTTTCAGTAACGAGTCCAACTTTTCTTTAAGCACACCACACTGCATACAAAAAGTGTACTTCATCAGCCAATCAGAAAACACTTCCAGCCTCCAAAAGCCAATCACAAAACAGCAAGTCAGCTAATAGTCAATCACAGCTCACCTTTTTAGCCATGACCTCTGATTCTTCAGAATTTTCTGTGTTCTTCTCGTACGCACGTCCCACTTTCGCAACAAAATCCTTAACTGTTTCACACAAGACTCTGAAAAAAACACACTTTTAGATAAGCAGCCAGCAGCCAGGATACACTAAAACTGAAATACACAGTGATGCACATATACTGTACGTACTTGGCGGAGGAAATGACCACAGAGTGCTGATCAGACGTCAAGATTTTGGAGAGATGAGCAGCAACAGAGTCCTCATAGGTCAGAATGTGCTGCACCTGAAACAAAACAGCCAATCAGAAGAGAGGAAACACAGAACAGCCAATCAGAAAAGAGGAAACACAGAACAGCCAATCAGAAGAGAAGAAACTCAACAGCCAATCAAAAGAGAAAAAACACAGAACAGCCAATCAGAAGACAGGAAACATAGAACAGCCAATCGGAAGAGAGGAAACACAGAAGAGCCAATCAGAAGTGAGGAAACACAGAACAGCCAATCAGAAGAGAAGAAACAGAACGGCCAATCGGAAGTGAGGAAACACAGAACAGCCAATCAGTAGAGAGGAAACACAAAGCAGCCAATCAGATGAGAGGAAACACAAAACAGCCAATCAGAAGTGAGGAAACACAGAACAGCCAATCAAAAGAGAAAAAACACAGAACAGCCAATCAAAAGAGAGGAAACACAGAAGAGCCAATCAGAAGTGAGGAAACACAGAACAGCCAATCAGTAGAGAGGAAACACAAAACAGCCAATCAGAAGAGAGGAAACACAGAAGAGCCAATCAGAAGTGAGGAAACACAGAACAGCCAATCAGAAGTGAGGAAACACAGAACAGCCAATCAAAAGAGAAAAAACACAGAACAGCCAATCAGAAGACAGGAAACATAGAACAGCCAATCGGAAGAGAGGAAACACAGAAGAGCCAATCAGAAAAAAGGAAACACATAACAGCCAATCAGAAGAGAAGAAACCCAACAGCCAATCAGAAGAGAAAAAACACAGAACAGCCAATCGGGAGAGAGGAAACACAGAAGAGCCAATCAGAAGTGAGGAAACACAGAACAGCCAATCAGAAGTGAGGAAACACAGAACAGCCGATCAGTAGAGAGGAAACACAGAGGAAACACAAAGCAGCCAATCAGATGAGAGGATACACAGAACAGCCAATCAGAAGAGAAGAAACACAGAACAGCCAATCAGAAAAGAGGACACACAGAACAGCCAATCAGAAAAGAGGACACACAGAACAGCCAATCAGAAGAGAAGAAACCCAACAGCAAATCAGAAGAGAGGAAACCCAACAGCCAATCAGAAGAGAGGAAACAGAACAGCCAATCAGGAGAGAGAACTGTCCCTTTAAATCAACATACCTCTGAGTCCTCACTGCAGTCCTCTGTTACCGTGGAGCTGGAATGTTGCCGTGGTAACTTGGTCTCATATACCATAATACTCCATCTATGAGAAATAAAAGCGTTGACTATTCAGTTCAAGGACTGTGACAGCTACTTTAAGCACACACACACACACACACACTGACCTGTCCAGCATCTTGGTACTGGCCCTCTCCAGCTTCTCCAGTATCTGTGGTAACTGTGTGTCGTCATCGCACGCCGAGCCCCATCCCAAAACTCTGGCCAGGTCATTTCCTGTTCCCAGAGGAAGTACACCCAGCTGGCACTGCAGACCCCACATCACAACATCAAACACTCCCGCACACACACCTGCAGCTTAAACAGTCCAGCAATGGCACTAGCAACAGCGTTTCCAATCCCAGGACATGCAGGAACTGACAAAATGTGCTTTGGGTAAAGGCGTAATAAATATAAATATAGAAAAATATGAATGCACTCAAGTTGATTTTAAGGGATGCAAAAAACAAAACACACACCACAGTGCAAGCAAAGAAAATGTGTCTGAAGCCCATTGCACCCTGTGTATCGTATGCCATATTAGGATTGTGTCATGCGTCAGTGACTTTTCCGTGAGTAAGTGATGAAAAACTCATGTAGTGTTTCTGCAGATATCACAGGCATGCACACTGGGCTTCGGCTGTCGTCTGCAGTGTGAGCGAGTCTCTGTTGGGGTTGTGTACCTGTTTGTGTAAAGTCAGAGCGTCTATCTCTGACAGCACCCATCCCACACTGCCATCACCCCCACACACCAGAATACGAAACGTATCGAACTTCTGGAACAGACGCAAGCTACGAAAGACACACACACACACACATTAAGATGTAATGCAAGATTATTGATTTTCATTGTCTGAGTGGATGTTTACTATCCTGTGTGTGTGTGTGTGTATATCTGTGAGAGAGTGTGTGTCAGTGCTTGTGTATGTGTGTATGTGTGAGTGTTCACATATGTGTGTGTGAGTCTCACCCCAGATGTGGCCCTCCGTTCATCAGATCGAACACTTGAGCAGGATTCAACAGCTGTTTAAACCGCCGTAGAAACTTCACACCCTGATTATCTCCACTTTTACTGTTCACAAACACCAACAACGGGCTCGTGCAGGTCGGAGGACACGTCGCCTTCCAGAACCCTACGCACACACACACACACACACACACACAAGAGAGATGGTGCATTTTCACTGTGTAAACTTTACAATAAGGTTCCATTAGTTAACATGAACTAACAATCTCAGTTAAACTTTAAACATGCATCATTTTTATCTTCAGGCGCTCGAAAGCCTGCGAGTGCTTCTATTTCTGACATAAAGCCAGAATTGGTAATTTCTAGGAGGTTTTAGGATAAGAGCTATTTCTGACGGAGAGCCCAAGGGAGAGCTCTGATTGATTGGATGATTCCAAGGGAGTGCTCTGATTGGTTGATCCTGAGGGAGTGTTCTGATTGGTTGATTCTAAAGTGGAGTGCTCTGATTGGTTGATTCCGAGGGAGTGTTCTGATTGGTTAATTACAAGGTTGTGCCCTGATTGTTTTTTTCCAAGGGAATGTTCTGATTGGTTGATCCCAATGAAATGCTCTGATTGGTTGATTCTAAAGTGGAATGCTCTGATTGGTTGATTCTGAGGGAGTGCTCTGATTGGTTGATTCTGAGGGAGTGTTCTAATTGGTTGATTCTAAAGGGGAATGCTCTGATTGGTTGATTCTGAGGGAGTGCTCTGATTGGTTAATTACAAGGTTGTGCCCTGATTGGTTTTTTCCAAGGGAATGTTCTGATTGGTTGATGCCGATGAAATGCTCTGATTGGTTGATTCTAAAGTGGAATGCTCTGATTGGTTGATTCTGAGGGAGTGCTCTGATTGGTTGATTCTGAGGGAGTGCTCTGATTGGTTGATTCTGAGGGAGTGTTCTAATTGGTTGATTCTAAAGTGGAGTGCTCTGATTGGTTGATTCTGAGGGAGTGCTCTGATTGGTTGATTCTGAGGAAGTGTTCTGATTGGTTGATTCTAAAGGGTAATGCTCTGATTGGTTGATTCTGAGGGAGTGTTCTGACTGTTTAATTACAAGGTTGTGCCCTGATTGGTTGTTTCCAAGGGAATGTTCTGATTGGTTGATCCCGATGAAATGCTCTGATTGGTTGATTCTAAAGTCGAGTGCTCTCATTGGTTGATCCTGAGGGAGTGTTCAGATTGGTTAATGGTTGTTTCCAAGGGAATGTTCTGATTGGTTGATCCCAATGGAATGCTCTGATTGGTTGATTCTAAAGGGGGAATTCTCTGATTGGTTGATTCTAAAGGGAATGCTCTGATTGGTTGATTCTAAAGTGGAGTGTTCTGATTGGTTGATTCTAAAGTGGAGTGCTCTGATTGGTTGATCCTGAGGGAGTGTTCAGATTGGTTAATTACAAGGTAGTGCTCTGATTGGTTGTTTCCAAGGGAATGTTCTGATTGGTTGATCCCAATGGAATGCTCTGATTGGTTGATTCTAAAGGGGAATGCTCTGATTGGTTGATTCTAAAGGGGGAATTCTCTGATTGGTTGATTCTAAAGGGAATGCTCTGATTGGTTGATTCTAAAGTGGAGTGTTCTGATTGGTTGATTCTAAAGGGGAAATTCTCTGATTGGTTGGTTCTAAAGGGGAATGCTCTGATTGGATGCTCACCGTCCGAGTCGATGCTGTTGAGGGCGGTGGGTGGAATCACGGAGACTTTACACTGACCCAAAGGGCACTTGGGAGAGAGCTGGTCTTTGCACCCAGCATGCACCTGGAGAATGTACACACAGTCGATTGTCATCTCTGCCTTCCATTTTACAAAGTTGCATAACATTAATAAAAGGTAATGAACGTCATAAAAATTGAACTTTCACAAACTCACCATGGCTTTACACCATAAACAGCGCCAGTCCTGAAGTCTGAGAACGCTGCCGCAGGTTTTATCACACACGGTGCATTTGGCACTGACCGGCAGATTCCCCTCCAGCCACTGATGAGGCATCGAGATCTACCCAGTTCAGGAAGGTGTTATATACAGGACAAGTAACTAGTTATAGTATTTATATAACTGTAGCTGGGAATAAATTGAAATAAAATGAACCTGACCATGCACTCACCCCATCCTCGTCCTCCAGTATGTCTTTGCCGATGGAGGCCAGTGTCGTCCATTTGCAGTTATTAGTGGCTCTGACCGCACAACGCTTGTGAGCCTTGAACTTGCACACTGTACGACACACAACGTTTTCAGTCAAGTTAAAAGGTTAGTGTACTTTCAAACCTGCAAGATTCCATCCAACTTTAAACACAAATGAAGATATTTTAATGAAATCATTAAAATCATAGAAAAATTTGGACTGTTCATACGGATTCGTTTTACCATCTCTTTATCGTCTTTTTAAAGCGACAAAGGTGAGGTTGCATACAGCTGTCAATGGATGGAAAGAAATCTCTCCGATTTAATCAATCAATTTAATTGTTGACAGAATTATTTTAAATTGAACACATAAACACGTTCGAAAGAGACTTCTAACGTAGGGTGAATGCAGGTAAAGTGGGCCGCTTTTTGTTAAACGTGTCATTTAGATACTTAGATGTTTTTGTTTTGTTTACTTTTTGTTAACTTTAAGGTCCAGCTATAATATATAAATTTGAATAGAGCTAATATAATGTATTATTTGCAAGCTATGTACTGTTCAAGCACTTATTTCCAGGTAAAGTGGGCCATCCCTGATTTATCAAAAATGATCCTGTATATTTTTTCTGTCTGTTTTCTCTAAACACTTTAATTGTGTCCATATTTAAAGCATTTTATTCTGCATTTACATTTTGCTCCTTTCTTTACTCCACAGATTAAATGTAATGCCTTATTTTCTGCTTTTTCTTTCCTCTCTTCCATCTCTGACTTAAATTTCCTAATGGCACACTCACTTGAATTTGAGTATAATTACTGAAGGTTAAAGGTCGCCCACTTTAACCTGAATCTTACACATACAGTCAGCAATATTTAAACACTTTACAAGAAAACTAACACATTTTAAATGATTTCATTCATTGCATTTCAAGTTTGTAGTAACAAACAAACCAGAAACTCCCACAATAATATTTGTTTACATTTAGTGAGCACCCTTAAGTTATAGGTTAGAAAATAAAATCTTAAATCAAAGGGTTTTCTAGCTTTAACCACACCCAACAGTATTTTATCATTTAAAGAAATAGTGTCTCTTTAATTAAAGACCATTGTCACGCTCTGAAAGTGTAAACCCATTGAGCACAGTACAAGCAAACTTAAACGGCCCGCTCTACCCTGCCGATAATGCTCAAATGAAAACTCATGATGAAGAGCGACAGACCTTCGCAGGACAGCCCGTGAGACGTGACCCCAGACAGAGCCTCCCGGCAGACGTTACAGTACGTGGGGCGAGCGTGCGAACAGGCGTACCAGTTATGCATCCCCGAGAAATGATCCATACTGAACTGAGTGGACTAGAGCAGAGAAACAAGCATGATCATAAGTGACGTTTATAATCTTACACAAGAGTCTGTTTCTACGGAGGCGTATTGCATTCACTTGAAGAAAAAAAATCTACTCTGTTTTTCTGAATTAACGAGTTAATTTTTCATGAGAAAAAAAATTTGCTCTGTTTTTCTGAATTAATGAGTTAATTTTTCATGAGAAAAAAAAATGTTGCTCTGTTTTTCTGAATTAATGAGTTAATTTTTCATGAGAAAAAAAATTTGCTCTGTTTTTCTGAATTAACGAGTTAATTTTTCATGAGAAAAAAATTTTTGCTCTGTTTTTCTGAATTAATGAGTTAATTTTTAATGGAATTTTTTTTTGCTCTGTTTTTCTGAATTAAGGAGTTAATTTTTCATGAGAAAAAAAATGTTGCTCTGTTTTTCTGAATTATCGAGTTAATTTTTCATGAGAAAAAATTTTTGCTCTGTTTTTCTGAATTAAGGAGTTAATTTTTTTATGAGAAAAAAATTTTGCTCTGTTTTTCTGAATTAATGAGTTAATTTTTAATGGAATTTTTTTGTTTGCTCTGTTTTTCTGAATTAAGGAGTTAATTTTTCATGAGAAAAAAATTTTTGCTCTGTTTTTCTGAATTAATGAGTTACTTTTTAATGGAATTTTTTTTTGCTCTGTTTTTCTGAATTAATGAGTTAATTCAGAAAAACAGCAAAAATAAATTTTCTCATGAAAAATTAACTCATTAATTCAGAAAAACAGAGCAATTTTTTTTTCTCATGAAAAATTAACTCATTAATTCAGAAAAACAGAGCAATTTTTTTTCTCATGAAAAATTAACTCATTAATTCAGAAAAACAGAGCAAAAACTTTTTTTCTCATGAAAAATTAACTCATTAATTCAGAAAAACAGAGCAAATTTTTTTCTCATGAAAATTAACTCATTAATTCAGAAAAACAGAGCAAATTTTTTTCTCATGAAAAATTAACTCGTTAATTCAGAAAAACAGAGCAAATTTTTTTTCTCATGAAAAATTAACTCATTAATTCAGAAAAACAGAGCAAATTTTTTTTCTCATGAAAAATTAACTCGTTAATTCAGAAAAACAGAGTAGATTTTTTTTCTTCAAGTGAATGCAATACGCTTCCGTATGTTTCAAATAAATGCTGTTCTTTTGAACTTTCTATTCATCAAAGAATCCAGAAAAATAAAATGCATCACAGTTTTCACAAAAACATGAATATTGATAATATTCTGGAGCATCAGATCATCATATTAGAGCTGCTTTGGTGAGCAGAAGAGACTGACGGTAGTGTAAGTTATTCAAACCCGTGATATAACCTCAAATAAATAGAGACTGCGGAGTAATACATGTCTCTACAACTTCCCATTAGACGGAGAATCTCACCTCGAAGTGTTCTCTGTTCTGAACACTCTTCAGCGCTGCGATCCATTCCTCCATTTCTTTCCTGTTTTCCGCACACAGAATCAGCCGACGACACGGAGTGATTACCTACAGAGAGAGAGAGAGAGAGAGAGAGGTCGGTCATGTGAAACTGAAGAAATCGGGAATAGATTTGTTCAAGTGTAATAAGCTGCTTTATCCACACATAACCTTTAATGTGTGTGTGTGTGTGTGTGAGTAAAAGAAACATGTGCTTCTCCTGCAAACTGCGTCAAAGGAACAAGGAACACACTGTCCACACTCTCTCTTACACACACTTCGAGCAAAGAGCTCTTGTTATTCAACTTACAGGGTGCCAAGTTAGGGCTGGGTGACAGAGCAAACATATCTGCAATGATTTTGCTCGTAATATGACATTATGCAACACTAAGAAAAAATATTGCAATGAGCTTTTTACTTGGCCATCAAGTTAACCTAAATACCGTGACATTATATTAGTTTCAGATTTCTCCTTTTTTTTAGCGATTCATTAGTAGGAGAGTGCCCAGCACAAAAAAAAAACGCATTAAGATCAATTCAAGAGAGATAGTTAGCATTATTATTATTACTCAAAGTTTTAGGGCATATGTTTTTAATAAATAAAAATGATTAAATACTCATGTGTGGTTAGTTTTATATAATGCATTTAACTTCTTGCATTAGGTGACACTTTCAATAAGGTCTCGTTTGTAAACATTAGTCGACATGAACTAACATTTATTAACATGCATAACATACGTTCAATGTTTGTTCAAAGTGCACTGATTTTTTTTAATGCTTTAAATAAATAAAAAAAAATTAAAAAATGTAAATAACGATATTGTGGCCGATATACCGTGCATACCATATATATATATATGCTTTAAGTTTTTTACATTTAAATAAAATAAATAAAAATTAAATACCAAACCTATCCTGAAACCTGTAATTATTTCAAGACTATTTGATGTCTGAATAAAAACCAATTTAACAAAAAAAATTAAATACCGATATGGTGGCCGAAATAGCGTGCATACCGTATATATATAAATATAAATGCTTTAAGTTTTTTTTTTTTTTTAAATGTAATTAAATTTTTTTTTTTTAGATAATTAAATACCGATATGGTGGCCGAAATAGCGTGCATACCGTATATATATAAATATAAATGCTTTAAGTTTTTTTTTTTTTTTAAATGTAATTAAATTTTTTTTTTTAGATAATTAAATACCGATATGGTGGCCGAAATAGCGTGCATACCGTATATATATAAATATAAATGCTTTAAGTTTTTTTTTTCTTTTAATGTAATTAAATTTTTTTTTTTAGATAATTAAATACCGATATGGTGGCCGATATAGCGTGCATACCATATATGCACACTATATCAGCCACCATATCGGTATCGGCCAATATATGGTCGTTTTTAATGTTAGCATTTATCATTATCGGCCCGATACGTACATTTGTCCGATATATTAAAGCCGATAAATACTGTATTATTTCCCTCAGCTGAGACTCTTCAGACGCGCACTGATCAACATGACTGGTTTGGATTCACTTGAAATATGACTGGAATCATAAAAAAGGAAAATTGGCTGCAAAAAATTAAAACGAGAACATCATAATTGTGTATTTGGGGGACGTGGCTTGTAATGGTGAGACTTTTGTTTTTGTAATCAGGCTCTCAAAAATTATATAAAACTTGGATTTAGATTTATCATCCAATATATCAGTTATCGGCTTTCAAATGTAAAGTATTATCGGTTATCGGTATCGGCCAGGTGGGTCCCTAATATATATAAGTATATTTATTTAAATTAAATTAGAATTAGAATGCAAAATAGAATCATGTTTACAAGTGGACTCAAACTTTTCCAGCTGTATCACTCAAGACGAACCTTAGCATGTGTGTGTGTGTGTGTGTGTGTGCGTCAACTTCCCAATCCGTTTCCTCCAGCTGCTGACAAAGACCCTCTGTTCCCATACGGATAAAAATAACTTGCGCCTTTCCTCCGCCAGCACACACACACACACACACCGATCATATTATTCATTTGGCGTTAGAGTACACTAGCTGCCTCATAAAACCAGCTAAACTACACAGACACATGTATCAGCTGACACACAGCAGAAGAGCGTCTGCTTAATGTCTTTGATGTAGATCTTCAAGCCACTTTTATACTCACACACACACACACATTATCAGCGCTATCGTAACGCCAGCTAACCGTGTCATACGACTCAAACAACTTTTGGGGTTCAGTTACATAAGCTGAATATATCCTGTTTTCAACACTTTAACACACAGCTGTGACACTAATCTAATCTAATAATGCACCTAATGAAATATATCCGCTTTAAGCTAATCTGTATAAATGGTGCAATAGAAATACACCGTGACTTTTCACTATACTTTAGTTTACTCTCATTTAATCCCATTTTAGCACTGGGTTTCACATGTAAAGATGAATTACTGTGTAAAGCATGAAACAATATAACTCAAAATATTGACCTTAGATTAACAAGTACAAGTGTGAAAAGCCCATCTGATTGGCTAACAGACTTTCTTATTCGGTTTAAAGGTGAAGTATGACATTTTCTGGAGTTTAAACAGAGTATCACTACTAACAGTCAGCGTAACATTTATTATAAGGTCCCATTAGTTATTGCATTAACTAATACTAACTAACTATACACTGTAAAAAATATTTTCAAGATTTGTTATCACAACATTTTTTCTTTTGTCAAATCAACTTTATAATGATTTATTTAGTTGAGATAACTTATTATTTTGTGTTTCTGATGGTTAAATTAATCTCCTTCATTGTATTAACTCACTTTTTCCAGTTCACTCAACTTAAAATTTTAAGGCAACCCCGGTTTTTTACTTTTTTAAGTTAAACCAACAATATTTTTTTTACAGTGTAGTAATCATAACATTTTTTCTTTTGTCAAATCAACTTAAATAATTTATTTAGTTCAGATAACATATAATTTTGAGTTTCTGATGATTAAATCATTCTCCTTCATTGTAATAACTCACTTTTTCCAGTTCAATGAACTTAAAATTTTAAGGCAACCAGGTTACTTACTTTTTTAAGTTAAACCATCAATATTTTTTTTACAGTGTAGCTGCAGTATTTGTTAATCTGTGTTCATGTTAGATCATGTTATCTGTGGTCCATTAATTAATATTAACAGATATATCTTTTATTTAGTAAACATTAAATAAGATCAATAAATGCTTAAGTTGTATTTTTCATGGTTGGCCGCCTGTAGTCAATCATTTTATCCCTTAAAACTCATCTTAGATCATCAAAATTACATATTTAAACTTTTTTTTGCCTAAAAATATCTTGAATGTAACTCGACACCCTCATTTAGTATTCGCGGTTATATGAACATGCAAATGAGCCCCGCCTCCACTCATTAACGACGATCACACGTTGATCTGATTGGTTACAAGGTCGTTTGTGACGTCAGAAACCGTGTTTTGGTTCACTGTCGTTTTTAAAGTGTAACTCTAGCCAAAGTTGAACCGTGGCTCTTTTTGTTAATCCACACGAGTCAAACTTTCATGTAAAAGCATAATTAGAATGTAAACACCACTTCTAAGATTGACCGTATTTTCGTTTTAGGTAAAAATGCCTTTTGAATGGGAGTGCATGGGGCACTACGATACGATAGCATCAAAATCGCTGTTTTTAAAACACCAATAAGTCAAAAGTAGTCGATCTCCGAATGCAACGTAATGAATTGACTCCACATGAGGAAATGTCATGAACTTTTAATTTCACTAACGACAAAACAAAAACATGATCCATGCATTTATATGGAAACAAGCTTTAGGAGCTTTCCATCTCTCGTCATGTTACGTTGCATTCGGAGATCGACTACTTTTGACTGACAACATTCCAGCCACCGGAAACACTGATAAAGTGAGTCGTACAAAACCTACACAAACAATGAACTCAATGCTCAAGTTCATGTGTAGAGGCCCTGGTTACTGTTTTAAAAACTGTGATTTTGATGCTAGCATAGTAGTTCCCCATTCAAAAGGACTTTACCTAAAACAAAAATATGGTCAATCTTAAAAATGGCGTTTCCATTCTAACTTCTAACTCTGCTTTTACACTAAAGTGGATTAACAAAAAGTGCCTAGGTTCAATTTTGGCAAGAGTTACACTTTAAGGAGGAAACACTCGACTTATGAATTCACAGATTCGTCTTAAAGCGTATTAAAAACACCACATAGACACATAAACAACATTATAAGCTGGATTTTCACTTTAACTACTATAGTTAAATAATGTTAACACATGTAACCTTGTTAAAAGTGTCACCAAAGTCAGTCATCGATAGTTTGAAGAGTGGAACTTCAACAGGTCAACGTCTGACTCGACCAATGGTGTGAGTTTTGGGGCGGGGCCACCTGTTTAACCGACCAATAACAGAAAGGGGGAGTGTTTAAATCCTGTTTAGAATCTTTAAATGTTGCAGTTCCGTTCAGTGACGACAGACTTTACCTTTAAATATAAATGGGTTTGTCAAATTTAAAATCTAATATATATATATATTAAGGCTGTGCAAAAATTAATTGCGATTAATCGCATCCAAAATAAAAGTCTGTGTTTACATAATATATTTGTGTGTGCTGTATATAATTATTTTGTATATATAAATACACACACATGCATGTATATAATTAAGAAAATGTGTTACTCATATATAAAATATTTATATTTATATAATATAGATTATGTATTTATATATATATTATATATATATACAGAATTTAAGCGCAAATAATTCTTAAATATGAACATGCATGCATAGGTATTTATATAAACAAAATAATTATATACAGCACACACAAATATATTATGTAAACACAGACTTTTATTTTGGATGCGATTAATCGCAATTAATTTTTGCACAGCCCTAATATATATATATATATATATATATATATATAAATATAAATGGGTTTTATGCTTCAACACTTCAAAGCTTGTTTTACAGCCTGAACACATCTTCTGAAGCACACAGTGTCTTCAGGCCCGTCACAGTGAAACCAGCTGACCCTCTGAGCAATATTGATCTGATCTGGATTAAAATTAGATACAACAATTTGAGTCAAAAGCTTCTAACGAATTTCCCAACTGCTTATTTAATCACAACACATATTAAAGCCCTTCAAACCAACACAAGATCACTTGATGGAGTAATTAACCAATCAGCAATACCCTTGATCAGCTCTACCAAACGTGGATAAGAAACGAACATTGTTATTATGTTTTGATTGATACTGTGAAGCTGCTTTGATGCAATCTATATTGTGAAAAGCGCTATATAAATATACTTGACTTGACAAGTAGTGTCTCAGTCATACATTTCATCATATGACTAAAATTATGTATTACGTTCTATTTTTCAGGATTCTCTGATGAATAGAATGTCCTAAAAGAAATAGAACCTTTTGTAACATTATAAATGTCTTTACTGGCACTTTTGAAAAATGTCCTTGATTAATAAAAATTTTAATTACATCACATAAATAAAAAGACGTACCTACTCCGTACTTCTCTCACCGTCCCACAGGTGGGACGTTTGCCACTATATTTTTAAAACAATAATATCTTAGTAAATACCTTAAATAATATTGACAAACTATATATCATTTGAAAGCTTACAATCTCTAGTTTCCATATTTGGTGACTGATTTTCAAAATATATTACAGAGGAGCCATAATTGATCAATATAAAACAAGAATATTTTCATACTCATAAGGCGTGTTCAGACCTTTATTTTAAAATAGCAGTAAACATGAAAAATCATGAAAAACTAGTAGATACCTCAGTTTGTTTTCATGCCAAAAGTTCAAAAGATAGAATCCATTCAATTATTTTGGAAAAAAAAGGTCTGAAAAGTTTGAAATATCAAGAAAAAAATAATAAATTCACCATTTGTGATGTGGCAGCTGGCTATGACTTACATGCGTGTTCTTTGTATGTGTTTCTTAGAGGTTCAATTCATATCAAAATCTGCCAAACTTTCCATGCTACTTCTGAATAGGATCTCTACTTCAGAAATTGTATGAAAATTGTGAAAATAATGGTTCATATCACTCAAAACACGAATGGAAATGCAGGCGCCCTTATATGGGCAGTAATGGAGTCTGATTGTGCCCTAGTGAAAAAGTTTGGTACTGCGCTCAAACAAAATCTTACTGAAAGCTCATTTTTTGAGATATCAACCTAAAATTTGAAACACAACTTGTTCAGATTTTTGGCTTTGATCTTTCTGCCATTTTAGAGTAGCCCAGGTTTTGAAAATATATATTTTATGTAAAATATGAATAATTAATATTTTTACATTGTACATTTCCATAAACTCAAACTTCTATAACTTTTTTTCTGTTTCACTTTCTTAATTTATTTCACTTCTATAAAAATCTGCCAAATGTCTTCTTTAAAACAAGACCAATCATATGTCTATATTCCAAAGCATTCTTGAATTACAACCATTTAAGTTCGAAATGTGCATTTTCATGTCTATTCAAAAAAGGGGGGGTGACAGTTAACAGGTTAATAGAAGTGTTTGTCATTAATTTGATTCATATTTTTAGCATACATCTAACCCAGATAGTTCTTCCAGACACATACCGACCCCAAGGCCAAAACACAGACACTGATTGGACAGTGTTCAAAGCACACACACACACTCTCACACACACACACAAAAAAAACTCACTCACTCACTCACTCACAATGACACTTACACACACACACTCGCAAAAACACACACTCTCTCTCTCACACACACACACACACACACACACATAAATACAGTTTAAACAATCTCTCTCTCTCGCTCGCTCGCTCTCTCATTCCACACATTCTTTCTTCTTACTTATTGCCGGCAAAATCCCGACGCCTCAAACCGTCTCTCAGTGTTTCTGCCGAGTCGATCTGATCCGTATGAAAGTCACCAGTACAGACCAATAATGCCTAATTCTGCTTCTCTCTCTCCTTCCTCAGCTGATCCATGTCTCTTTCCTTCCCTCTCTCAAACAAACTCCTCCCGTTTTCCATCACGATGACTCACACACCTTCCCACAAAGGAAAAATGCATATGAAAACACACAGAAACGGCTGAACCCGGGAAAAGCACGAGCTCCTCCCAGCAATTACAATTAAATCAGTCCAAATGTCAGCTATAAATACACTTGAACACGCACATGTGCTCCAGACTCTGTTTATCAGATCCAGAATAAACACACTCTGCGCTTTTCTCAGAAGCTGCTTCACTTCATCGCTGGGAACATCAGAGGAAACACGACGAGTGAGTGTGTGTTTACTTAAGCAGACTTTCAGCACAAACTCTCTCCACAAGTGAACTGAAGCGCTCTACTCTGTAACAAGAGGTTATTACTTAACTCACTATTACTGAAGTCATCAGATGAGTGAAAGAGAAGCTCATATCCAGATCCTTGAGAGTGGACTCTTTTTATTTGATTTAGAAAACAATCACCTAGCAACACCCTAGCAACACACTAGCAACAGCATAGTGATAAGGGAATGACGTGACGAAACCAGGAACATGCCAAAGAGACAACTTCAGAATAAGATACATGAAAAGAAACAAAACCCAAAACAAACCATTGACATTTTGATATATATATATGTGTGTGTGTGTGTGTGTGTGTGTGTCTGTGTGTGTGAAGTGAAGTGTAGTAAGCGGTTATTACTGAAGTCATCAGATGTGTGAAAGAGAAAATCTCAGAAGCTCATTTGCAGATCCTTGAGAGTGGACTCTTTTTATTTGATTTAGTAAACAATCACCTAGCAACACCCTAGCAACAAGCTAGCAACAGCATAGTGATAAGGGAATCACATGACGAAACCAGGAACATGCCAAAGAGACAACTTCAGAATAAGATACATGAAAAGAAACAAAACCCAAAACAAACCATTGACATTTTGATATATATATATGTGTGTGTGTGTGTGTGTGTGTGTGTGTGTGTGTGTGTGTGTCTGTGTGTGTGAAGTGAAGTGTAGTAAGCGGTTATTACTGAAGTCATCAGATGTGTGAAAGAGAAAATCTCAGAAGCTCATTTGCAGATCCTTGAGAGTGGACTCTTTTTATTTGATTTAGTAAACAATCACCTAGCAACACCCGAGCAACAAGCTAGCAACAGCATAGTGATAAGGGAATCACATGACGAAACCAGGAACATGCCAAAGAGACAACTTCAGAATAAGATACATGAAAAGAAACAAAACCCAAAACAAACCATTGATGTATATATGTATATATATATATATATATATATATATATATATAATCACCTAGCAACACCCTGGCAACCACCCACAACAATCAGTTCTTATTTTCTTATATAAACACTTGTGAGTCATATATCAAATAGGCTTGCCGCGATAGACGGTGTTGACGGTGTTACCGGTTTTAAGCCCCATCACCGGTGACATCACTTTCCCACCGTGACACCGCGATGTCTTGACTTTTTTTTTTAAAGTATTCGTTTTTGCTAAAATATTTATTTGAATTAATTAAAAATAATAATTTTCAATTATTTAGTTCTGAAGAGAGCATTATAATTAAAAATGAACTGCGCAACGCGTGCCGTCACGTCACAGATCAGCAAGCATCAGGATTCCATTTAGCACGTGTGGAGACGAGAACGAGTCAAATTACAGAAAAGCAAGATAATGGCGGAAGATTTGGTGTCAAAACGCAATGCAAAAGCGCCTGTTTGGCAATATTTTGGCCAATATATATTAATGTTAATAAATGCCAATTTATAGTGTTTTACTTTTTTTTAGAGTGCTGTCATTTATGTAGGCTAAGGTCCTTTTTAAAGTTTTTATTTTATATTCGTCTCTTTTTATTTGGTTTTATCTTATTTAAACTTTGTTTAATTTATTTAGGCCTATTTTGTTTTCTTATTCGTTAATAAACGTTTTATTTATTTTTTTTGGGCCCACAGTTTGCCGATTTTCACTTTTTTCAGCCTATGCATGGGGTTATTTTTATTCGTTAGTTATGCTAATAAAAGTCTATAAATAAAAGTTTTATTATCAGCGAGTTGTTTTTTTTTGTCCATTCAAGCAATTGACGCTTATTTCGAAAGTGAAAGTATAACGCGCACGCATTTAAAAGCTATTTAACCCCCCCGCCCTGCCCTCCACGGTGACACCGGGATTACCGGTGTTGTCACACGTCGATTAACCGGTGGGAAATTTTCCTCACCGCGGCAACCCTAATATCAAATGAAACATACTAACTTACTGAATTAAAAGCAAACGGAATTGAAAGGATAAAAACTAAATTTCATTCAAAAACTGAATTAAAAATGAATAAAAAATGTTTTTATAAATAAATTTAAATTTGAGTTTGTGGTGTTTTCAGCAATTCATTGCATTAAATTAATCAAAAATGACAGTGAAGGCATTTATAATGTTACAAAAGATTCTGCTTCGAATAAATGCTGTTCTTTTAGTGTGTGTGTGTGTGTGTGTGTGACTCACAGTGAAGCTGTTGTTGATGTTCTTCGTACTGGATTCCGCTACACTGGCGTCTGTCAGATCCACTTCATCAAAAATAATTGACTGAAAACAAATCATCACAAATCAATAATTTCCCCACCAAATATCATACAAAAGAAAATTGTGATATTCAAAAGACTAAAAGCACATAAAATTAGTCATGTATAGCATTATACATATATGAAATATACATATAATAATGTTAGAAAATTCATATAAATGCTCTTTTAAATTTAGTGTGTTTGTGAGTCAGTGAGTGAGTGAGTGTGTGTGTGTGTGTGTGTGTGTGTGTTTGTGGACAGACCTTGGCCGTCTGAGCGTAGTACAGTGTTCTTCCCCGCAGTTTAAAATAACGTCTCTTCCAGCGCTGAAAGTTCGTCTGTTTCATTAACTTTCCCTCTTTTAAAATCGTCTAGGACGAGAGAGAGAGATAGAGAGAGAGAATGTGAAAATTCTTTTCTTTCCAATCACCCTCGTTCATTTACGTAATAAATGACATCATCATCCTCATCATCGTCCTAGAGCTGCTCTTCACACACCGTTTCATCTCACACACACCTTTAATGGAAAGATATTTTTACATCAAGAAACCACAAACTACAATGAAACTCCAACCAGACAACACACGCACACACACACACAGAGCTCTGCCTGCAGTTTCATGTTAGACCTACAGGGAGCAGCAGAGAGCAGCACATTTCACTCCGACATCAGATTTCTTCATATCTATTAATCATATACAGTATATTGAAGCATATCTATTAATAGTGCTCATTGATTCCTGCAGTGTTTGCGCTCCACACATCAATGATTCCTCAAATCATCGGTCTTGACCATATATTTATTTACTTATTTATCATTTACCACCATATCATCATCATCCATGGCAAACCCAAGAGCAATACAATTTTAAATAAGCATTATAACAATAACATGTCAATTAATTGATTGTATACAACCATAATATTAAACAAACAAATAAAACATTAAAAAATAATAATAATCATAATTTAAAATTTGATTAAAATTCTATTTGTTTAAAATTCCATTCGTGTATTCTGTATAAAAACATTGCTTAATATAATTAAAATGTACTTTACAGTTCATAGACGCTTTATAGTAGTTTTTGAGTGACCATTTTGTATAATAATTTCTATTTTCAAAATGGTTATGTCTGTTGATTCACTTCATATATTTTGTTATGGACACATTCGTCCCACCAGCTGGACACTAAAACAGACGTTGTAATAACACTGTAACACAACTTAAAAACGACCTTTTTTCTGCACTACACAATTTGAAACATTAAACGCTGACACAAAGATCAAACTAGATCAAAAATATGTCCATATTTCACATTTAAGCTTTACAAATACAACAACAACCAAATAACATGCAAATTCTTTCAGATTCAGCATCAGAAAACAGCACTAATGCACACACACACACACACAGATGGGGAGTGTGTAACACTAACCTGGAACCTAGAGCAATCCATGAGAGACGGGTCAGAGCGAGATGCGTCTGACTGATGTGAGGCTCACACACACACACACTTACACACACACACACACACACACTCGAGCTGGTTTCCGCTGACAGTAAAAGCCCTCTTCTCTGTCACTGAAGGCACCTGTCTGTCATTTCAGCTCACACACACACACACACACACTGCACATCTCACAGCAACCCACAGGAAGCTTGACCTGTTTGTGCAGCGCTCAGTCTTTGAGAAGCGCTACCAAAATAGCTCACGGCAAACCTCTGTTCTGATAATAGAGTCATTTCCTGACCGCGCGCTAACTTTTCATCTGACACGCGTCACTGACATGAACGAATGATGCCTTTTCATCCAGCCCATGCATGTTTTAATCAGGGTTTCTGTCCTTAAATACAACTAAAAGCATTTAAAACATGGGAGCACTTTACAGTCCATGCACATACTGTATACTAACTATAGTAAATGCAATAACTGGGTAATAACTAGTTGACCTAACCTAACCATGTTACCAATACTTTCTTTTGTAAGTACACTGTCAGTGCATGTAACCGAAAACATTTTCATTACTCGAAATAAAATAAAACATTCAATATAAAATAATTGCATTTCATTTCAGCAAGTTGCTCATTTTCATTTAGTTTCAGTTTAAATACTAAAGTAAACTAAAAAGAAAAAAGAAATAGACATTTGAAAAACCTAATAAATGTACTTAACTTAAAATAAAACCTTTAAAATAAAGTCTAATTCAAAATATTAACAAAACTATGACAGCATATAGAAATGGTACTAAAATACACAAAAAAGGGTTCCAAAAGGGTTTTTGTTTTGCAGCGATGTCATAAAAAAAACTTTCAGTGAAGAGTTCTTAAAGAACCTTTAGTGAAGAACCTTCAGGTGAACAGTTCTTAAAGAACCTTTAGTAAGAACCTTTCAGTGAAGAGTTCTTAAAGAACCTTTAGTAAGAACCTTTCAGTGAAGAGTTCTTAAAGAACCTTTAGTGAAGAACCTTCAGGTGAACAGTTCTTAAAGAACCTTTAGTAAGAACCTTTCAGTGAAGAGTTCTTAAAGAACCTTTAGTGAAGAACCTTCAGGTGAACAGTTCTTAAAGAACCTTTAGTAAGAACCTTTCAGTGAAGAGTTCTTAAAGAACCTTTAGTGAAGAACCTTCAGGTGAACAGTTCTTAAAGAACCTTTAGTAAGAACCTTTCAGTGAAGAGTTCTTAAAGAACCTTTAGTGAAGAACCTTCAGGTGAACAGTTCTTAAAGAACCTTTAGTGAAGAACCTTCAGGTGAACAGTTCTTAAAGAACCTTTAGTGAAGAACCTTCAGGTGAACAGTTCTTAAAGAACCTTTAGTAAGAACCTTTCAGTGAAGAGTTCTTAAAGAACCTTTAGTGAAGAACCTTCAGGTGAGCAGTTCTTAAAGAACCTTTAGTAAGAACCTTTCAGTGAAGAGTTCTTAAAGAACCTTTAGTAAGAACCTTTCAGTGAAGAGTTCTTAAAGAACCTTTAGTGAAGAACCTTCAGGTGAACAGTTCTTAAAGAACCATTAGCGAAGAACCTTCACGTGAACAGTTCTTAAATAACCATTAGTGAAGAACCTTCACGTGAACAGTTCTTAAAGAACCTTTAGTAAGAACCTTTCAGTGAAGAGTTCTTAAAGAACCTTTAGTGAAGAACCTTCAGGTGAACAGTTCTTAAAGAACCTTTAGTAAGAACCTTTCAGTGAAGAGTTCTTAAAGAACCTTTAGTAAGAACCTTTCAGTGAAGAGTTCTTAAAGAACCTTTAGTGAAGAACCTTCAGGTGAACAGTTCTTAAAGAACCTTTAGTGAAGAACCTTTCAGTGAAGAGTTCTTAAAGAACCTTTAGTAAGAACCTTTCAGTGAAGAGTTCTTAAAGAACCATTAGTGAAGAACCTTCACGTGAACAGTTCTTAAAGAACCTTTAGTAAGAACCTTTCAGTGAAGAGTTCTTAAAGAACCTTTAGTGAAGAACCTTCAGGTGAACAGTTCTTAAAGAACCTTTAGTAAGAACCTTTCAGTGAAGAGTTCTTAAAGAACCTTTAGTGAAGAACCTTCAGGTGAACAGTTCTTAAAGAACCTTTAGTAAGAACCTTTCAGTGAAGAGTTCTTAAAGAACCTTTAGTAAGAACCTTTCAGTGAAGAGTTCTTAAAGAACCTTTAGTGAAGAACCTTCAGGTGAACAGTTCTTAAAGAACCTTTAGTGAAGAACCTTTCAGTGAAGAGTTCTTAAAGAACCTTTAGTAAGAACCTTTCAGTGAAGAGTTCTTAAAGAACCATTAGTGAAGAACCTTCACGTGAACAGTTCTTAAAGAACCTTTAGTAAGAACCTTTCAGTGAAGAGTTCTTAAAGAACCTTTAGTGAAGAACCTTCAGGTGAACAGTTCTTAAAGAACCTTTAGTAAGAACCTTTCAGTGAAGAGTTCTTAAAGAACCTTTAGTGAAGAACCTTCAGGTGAACAGTTCTTAAAGAACCTTTAGTAAGAACCTTTCAGTGAAGAGTTCTTAAAGAACCTTTAGTGAAGAACCTTCAGGTGAACAGTTCTTAAAGAACCTTTAGTAAGAACCTTTCAGTGAAGAGTTCTTAAAGAACCTTTAGTAAGAACCTTTCAGTGAAGAGTTCTTAAAGAACCTTTAGTGAAGAACCTTCAGGTGAACAGTTCTTAAAGAACCTTTAGTAAGAACCTTTCAGTGAACAGTTCTTAAAGAACCTTTAGTGAAGAACCTTCAGGTGAACAGTTCTTAAAGAACCTTTAGTGAAGAACCTTCAGGTGAACAGTTCTTAAAGAACTTTTTTCCTCTATAAAGAACCTTTTTTGGAATTGAAAGATTCAATGAATGTTAAAGGTTCTTCATGGAACCATCGATTCCAATAAAGAACCTTTATTTTCGGATGTTAATGAACAGAAACTAATGTAGCAGTAGTAAGTGTGTGTGTGTGTGTGGGCGGGCGGATCTTCCCGAAATAACTCACAAATGCAACTTTGATCTCTGTCTGATATCACTGCAAAAAGCCACTTGTTTTATAAATGCACCACAACAAACCACTGTTTACTGTGTGTAGAGAACATGCTTGCATCAGTCGGCATGCGGGTTTGCAAATGTCATCAAACTGAAGGAACTCATTTAAAGGCTGCTTTATTGCTGAAATCACTTCAGCGCTTTACAGATAAATGCATTGAGTGTATTATTGTACAACTTTCAAGCTTTTTATTCAACATTAAATGTGCAATGTTTTTTTTACTTCTGGAATCCGACTGTTGCGCTATATTAAGGAAAAAAACAGGAATAATTGTACCTTTAGGGGTTCAACACACACCTTATTTACCCCTAACAGTTCATAGTAGTACCTTAAGGGTATATATTTCTATTTTAAGGAACTAAAATGCACTTTTAGTGGTAAATAAGCTACAAAGCTGTCATTTTTCATGCAGTTTGATGTGATCTGATCGTTACTGCACATGCTCAGAGAAACCTCTCTCATATATCACATATTGTCAGTAAAAGGTGTCTGTAGCTCGAGACGGGTCTGAAATGGCGGGTCAAACGTGACCTTTGAGGGGATAGATGCCTGCGGTTACTGTAGCGAGAGCTCTTTCATCTCCCCTCTGTCTGATCTGACTCAAAGAGACCGTTACCGATCTGAACCGTGACCTTCCACATCACACACACACACACACACACTCGATGACACGGCTTCCGCTTCCCAGAATTCACTCGTGGTTTACAAGCCCGGCATGAAGTGGCCACACACGCATCACTGTTACTAACTAATGCCTAACTAACTAGTGCTCTCTATATTTAGAAAGGGCTTTTTATTTTTCCCAAAATCCATTTTTGCCATTTGAATGGTTAAATTAAATTTTAGTAGTAGTATTTGAGTTTATTGCCGCATCATATTCACAGGCTATTTCATGGCAAATGCATTTATTTATTATTATTATTATACTTAATTATAAATATAAAAAATATTATATTTTTATTTTAAATATTTAAAAAAAAAAGTTAGACATATAATTCTATAAAAGATTAATTAAATGTACATTTGATTGAAATTGTAAAAAAAAGAAAAAAAATTCCAGGGTTCATCTTACAAAATACGTCCATTTTAGAAATCGAAAATAATGTTTAATTAATTGAAAACATGAAACCTATACAATTTAACAACAATTTTTTTTATTAAAAATACATTTATTTAACAAAACGTTCTATGATATGTTTTTTTTTTTGTCTCAAATTCTGTTTTCCCCCATTTTAATTTTTCTGGATTCCATTTTTAATAGTTTAGTTCAATTTAAATGTTTTTTTTTTTTTATCTATCTTTTATTTTTTTCTGGATATATAATTTAACACCAATTTATGATCAAAAACAGTGGTAATCAAATGAAGGCATAAACAGTTATCTTTTAAAAGTGATCAAATGAAAATGAAACCATTTCTTTAGACTTCAGATGTAAATGTGCTTCAATATTCAGACACGAGTTCATTCATATCGCAGTTTGATTCAGTGTGGCAGCTGATTTATTCAAACTTTGCCAAATTCCATGGAATTCCGTGTCATACTATAAATTCCATTTTTATAACTGGATTCCGTCCGCATCACCAAACTCATACTTGCCATAGGCTGCCAGCAATAGTGCATCTAAAAATGAAAACAGTTCTCAGTCAGTATTAACCCTCATGTCTGTGTCTAATTCATACACTTTTACTGTAAAAAGCAGCTTGCTATAATTCAGCTTTCTGTTCCAGAATGAGGCCAATTTCTGCAGATTTATGGCACAATGCACAACATTTATTATTACTGGCCTTCTAAAAAAAATGCTGGGTTGTTCAAATGTGGACAAACCCAGCCGTTGTGTTCATTTTTTTAATTAAAATTTTAACCCAGCGTTCGGGTTTGTCCATATTGAACCTAAAATTTTTTTAGCCAGCATTTTTTTATAGTGTAGGTTGCAAACAGGAACATGCTGTAAAAATGTGAAATTAAACCAAAAAAGAAAAGAAAAAAAGACTCAACATTACCAAATAATTATGCTTCATTTTCTAGGTGCAAGAAATTAAACCAATAAAACTGAAGATAATATATAAATGATGCACACACACATCATCTCCGGTCCG